CAAGTGGCATCCACTTCAATATAAAGGCTTGCAGTTTATCATTCTTAATAGCTGAATAATACTCCATTGTGTAAAAATACCACATCTTTCTCAAGAGCCAGGGGTTTGAAACCTGGGCCTGCCATGCCGCCCCCCACCCCCAGAGCATGCTGAGACAGCAATTGAGACTGGGTGTGGTAGTGCACGCCTGTAATCCCAGCTCTTGGGATGCTGTAAACAGGCAGATCAGTACAAGTCTGATCTAGTAGTGAGACCCTGAACACCCTGTAGACCCTTCACCAAAATACAGTAAATAAATAAATAAATAGATAAATAAATAAATAAAAATTAGAAGGGTGAAGGATATATCTCAATGGAATTCACAGCCTCTCAGGTTCAGTCAATCCTCAGTACCACAGGGGAAGAAAGGGTCAATTTATGAGTCTTATCTCATGGTACATAAAATGAAAACCATCTTGTAAGGATTAAAAAAAACAAATGATTAAATGCATGTTATAATAAGACATAAGCCAAATGGTAGATTTGGGGGGGGGGCGCACAATACTAGGGATTAAACTCAAGGCCTTGGTACTGAGCTATATTTTCCAGCCCTTTAAAGCATTTTACTTTATTCAACTAACTGTTGGCAGGGCTTATACTACAATTGGTACCTCACAGCTAGTGTTGTTACCCCTGTGATACCCCATTGCTTCACTATCTTCCTCTCTCTTTTGAAATCTAAATTTCATAAGTACTATTCATTCCCAAGAGGGCAATGATCTGAGAATACACAGACTGCTAAGTTGTCCAGGGTGGGTTGGCACTTGGAATCCTCCTGCCTCAGCCTTCTGTAGTGCTGGGATTGCAGTCATGTGCCACCACACAGCAATTAATATATTTTGAAAGTTAGAGGACTGTGCTGTTGGAAATGAATGAAATGTAGACTTTGAAAGTGAGAGGATGTAGAAGCAGTGGGGCACCACAATAACAGCACTAGGCCGTGACTCCCAGTGGTCTCAGCCTTGCTGACGGTTAGTAGCGGGGCCTTTGAAAAGCTACTCTTCCGATCTACATCTCAGTGTTCTTACCTATAAAATATGAGGCTTTCGAAATAGATGAAATTTTACAACCCCTAATTAGAATTATATGAGAAGTGGATCCTGTAGGTAAAAAAGTCAATAGTTTGAGTTGCACCTCCCCCCAATTCCTTTGAAATGTTATCAATAAACGCCTACACTTTACTTATGGCTAACTTTTAGGTCTCTACAAATGTTGGAGCTAGGTCATTTCAGTCAGGGATGCATTTTGCTTTGCTCTTCCTGTTCTCTTTTAGTTTTTGTCATCTAGTAGCCAGGAAGAGCCACAGCACTCTGCCAATACCTTAGGGATAAGTGTGTATGGTGGATGTTAGGGTGGACTTGCGGAAACAAGCAGTGAAAAGCAAACTTTGCTGTACAACTATTGTGTCCCCCCCCCCATTTTCCTTATTACCTGAATGGATGTACATGCCTCTTTCACTTTCTAACCTTCTCTTTTGTACTTTTTGTTCTCCCTCTCACCATTCTAGGCTAATAATAAGCCTGAGATTGAAGCGGCCCTCTTCCTGGACTGGATGAGACTGGAACCGCAGTCCATGGTTTGGTTGCCCGTCCTGCATAGAGTGGCTGCTGCAGAAACCGCCAAGCACCAGGCCAAGTGTAACATCTGCAAGGAGTGCCCAATCATTGGATTCAGGTATTGGAACATTTCTCCCTTTTAATGACGCCATCTTTGATGTCCTGTGCCAGTGCCTGCGAGTTTGTTCCTCGAGTTTGTTCCTCTTGCAAGTAGGCAAGATGGTGAAGAAGCTGGAGCACTGATTGCCTCCGTCACTCTTGAGTCACTGGGTTATTTGGTTGCATCTGACTCATGAGGCAGATGTCCTTTTCCACTTTCACCCTTCAGCTCTGTGGACCACAGTTTTGGTGGAGCAGGACTGAGTACCTATCTGCACACAAGTACTTGTTCATCAAGGGCATCTAAATGAACTGCGCTTCCTCTTTCCCGGAACTAGAACACTTTACCCTCTCTTTTTGCATTGATTATACTTCCTCCTTCCTGGCACTATACTATTTTTACCCTTTTTTTCTGTTTATAGAAACTGTCCAAGAATGAGTTATGAAACTAAGACGTGATTCTATTCTGGGAGGAAGCATTGTGGTAGCTCCTTCTCTTGCTTGGAAGCCTTTCCCCCCTGAAGTAACAGGAATTGTCTCAGGCATCCTAGAACTTCCTTATCTTTCAGTCTGATTATTCTCTTTGCATAATATCCCATGGAACTTCTGAAGGAAGAAAAACACATGCCAGTTAATCAGAGATTCACAAAGTAGCTTAAAATGTGTCCCTTAATTTGAGGTCAAGGAGATAAGAAATGTAGTAGGTTACTATGTTTATATTCTTAAAAATGTCATGGAAAATAATTGATTTTTAAGGCTTTAGCCTTGTTGAACTGTCTAGGCAAATGGTACTTTTAAAGAACTAATCTTGTTTAACAGTAACCCTAAATCCTAGTTCGGAAAAGGTGATGTATTTAAACATCTGGATCCACATCCAGGTTTCCATAGTGTTGGATAAGCTACAAACTTATAAACTCACTATACAGTCTGTGCCTGTTCAGAATCCACTTAGCAGCTAAGTAAATACTCTTTTCTAGTTATGCTTACACTTGTTTTATTACGTTATTTCTAAGTAGCCACTTGGCATCATTTTTGTGATTTTTTTTTAAATCTTTTTTTTTTTGGAACCGGGAATCAAACTCACGACCTCACACTTGCCAGGAAAGTGCTGTGCCTCTGAGCTAAATCCCTGGCCTCTGTTTTTGTGATTTCTATTCATGGTGCTTATCTTTCAATATTTCATACTGTTTACAGAACCCTTAAGAGGTTTCTAAAGCCTAGCTAGACAACAGAGGGTAGGCAATGCTTGCAGAACATGTGTTATTTCTGTCCTGGTTTTGGCAGGCAAGAATGATGCCTTGAGGAGAGGGGAAGGGGGGCCACAGGTGACTGCTTTATATTTCTTACCTTTCATTCTCAGCTTCTGTAACTAGTGGCATTTGTAGATCACAGAGGGAAATTTTATAAAATAGAGCAGGAGAAGGCTGTGGGGAATCTAAGAGAGCCTTTCGACCTTCAATTCTTTTTCCCCTTATCAAATTAGATTAAGAATCAGCATTTCCCTCTCCTCCCCACCCCCTCTGGAAAGATGGTTGAGATCCAAAACCAGGCAGGTTTTCTTCCTGCTTTCCCATATGTGACATAAGGGATATGTTTATTTGAATTGGCTGAAGTTCTTATTTCAGAAAGAAAAAGACAGGAGTCTGAAACAAAGAATACAGTATTCTGAGAATGGAGGGCAATGTACCAGCTAGTTCTTGCAGATTTAAAGTTCTTGCAATCTTCCACTTGATTTAAATTTGATTTTTTTCCATGGGGTTTCAGCTGTCATTTGTGTGTAATATGATGAGGGATTTTTCTTTTCTTTTGAGGCATGGTCTCTCTATGTAGTACACACTGACCTTCCACTCCCCGTAGAGACCAGGTGGGCCTTAAACACTCCATCCCACTGACCTCCCCTCCCCCACCCAGTGCTAGGATTATGGGTGTGCACCACCACACACGGCACCAACCATAGGGTACTTAGAGTCACTGTATCTGGGAAATATTCTTAATTCTAGAAATATTAAGAAATACCACACAATCCACCACACACAGTCCACCACACAATCCACCACACACAATCCACCACATTTGCTAAAGGTGGATTTCTGAAGAGAGATACTGAAAGAGATCATCCAAGTAACTATTTGAAAACAAATCCTGTCAGCCAATCAGAAACCAGAATTAAAGCAAGACTTGTTTTACCTAGCGTTCTTGTTTATGTTTCTTTTGTCTTGTGGGATAGCTCTATGTAATTTTTGAAAATAATTGTTTCAAAAAACTTTGTTCCCAAGGTTGTGATGCATCAATTGATCTCTTCTGAAAGTTCTTTCTGATTTGAGTATTTGGTTTTCAAAAGATTGGGAGCATGCCAGTACTTCCCTACTTAATCCGAAGGAGCCCTCGGTGGAGTTCCAGTGAGAACTCAGTTTTTCTTCCCTTCTTCCATATGTTTGTAGGATAATCTTTCTGCCAAAATGTTTTGATACAGTAGGAGAGGCCCCAGAGAAATCTGGAGGGAGGAAGTTAATCACTTCCCTCGTGGGGCTAATGAACATTGAACTCTGTTTCTAGAATTAAGACAGTGTGGTGCAAAGTCTATTAAAGAGTGTTCTTTGGGAATTTGATTGCAAGAAATACAAATGTGTTTGTTTTTGTTCTTTACCAGGTACAGGAGTCTAAAGCACTTTAATTATGACATCTGCCAAAGCTGCTTCTTTTCTGGCCGTGTTGCAAAGGGACATAAAATGCACTATCCCATGGTGGAATATTGCACTCCGGTAAGTTAGATGCCTCCCTGATGTGAGTTAGTCTCTGTGTTGACTTTCCATGTTGTTTAGTGTTGCAAGTCATGGTGAGTGCTGTGATTTCTAAGTTCCCAGATATTTCCCAGATACAGTGACTCTAAGTACCCTATGGTTGGTGCCGTAGGCAGCTCCTGGCACATAGAACATCATAAACATTCAATAAATATGATTGATTGAGTAGATTTTTCTGCATCTCCCCAAAAATAAGACCTACCAAGAAAATAAGCCCTTGGCTGCCATTACCATGGTGATGACTAGTGTCATGCAAAGGATTATATGTCACTGTTGCTTGGTGGCTACTCTGTAGTGGCACATAAGGCAAGGATAGGCTGATCAGGGGTGGCATTATTGTCGGCACTCATAAAAATAGGAACAAGAAATAAAAAACAGAACAGAACAAAAAAAGAAAAGAAGCAAAAAGATTTCCACTTTATGGCATCTCTGCAATTACTGGTAGGCAAAGTCCAGATCCATGTTGATTCATCCCAGCAAGCCACCTTTATGACAGGTAGTGGATAATCCCAGCATGCCTACACCTCCAGCTCTGCTGAAGTTCAGGCTGTTTTGTGCCTGGGACACTGAAACCTGATTTGTTCAGCCTGCAATAGTGTGTGCCTCCCGCTGGCTTGAACTCAGCTCCCTGCCAGCTTGAAATCAGTTCCTTGAGTTCCTGGGGACTTGAACTCAGCAGCCTCATCCTGATACTGACAGTCACTAAGTGGAGCCAGACCACAGCTGCTCCAAGTTCTGAGCTCAGATGGCCCTTCTCCAAGATGACGACCAGCCAGTCTCCCTCTCCTGAGGGATGTCTGAGCCTGAACACCTCACCAGGCCTGGTGCATTTCTGGGACCTGAGGGAATGATGTTTCTGATCTCTAGCTTTCAAGAGTAATTATTTTCTGGTTAGGTCTTATTTGGGGGCGGGGACACAGTTCTCCTTTTTGGAGGGTTGTAGGGCAGACAGTTCAAGTTTCTTTCTCAGAGCCCTAGAGATTGTGTGACCAGGGGCATATTGTGTGAGGAGGCATGCTGGTTGCGCAAAATCCTTAACCTATTACCTCTATTCAGTATTGCTCTCCTTATGTCTCTGTGTCATATTAACACCAACATTTAATAAATCTTCATGTGTCAGTCCTGACCAGCTCACTTAAATGCTAGATATTTATGCTTTAAACTGCATTGTGTGAAATAGGTATTAGTATGCTAAAGGTGATTTTATCTTGTTTTACAGATTAGGATTCTGTGGTCCTAATATTAAAGAATTTTCTCAAGGTTCTATATGAGGTGGAAGCTTTTCCTAAGATATTGTTTTAGGAAAATGTTCAGTGACTGATACAGCTTTGGAAAACTTGGTGCAATGATCCGGATACACATGTGGTGGTCAGGCAGGCCTGGGTGTAAATCTGCTGCTCTCTAAACTCTAGAAGCATGCTATTCACAGTGGGGGTCATTGACCTGTAATGCTGACTTTACCTTGTAGCTTACTTGGAAATGCAGACCCTCAGGTACCAGCCCACCTTTCTAAATTGAAAGCTGCATTTTAGAAAGCTCTGCTGATCACTTTGCAGCACATGCAAGTGTGAGCAGCTGTCCTTTAGAGCACTTCACGTCCATCATCAAAGTGATCCTCCCAGCTATTTGACTCACTGTTATTCATCATGAAGGTAGTCAGTGCTGGAGAATATATCTGCCATGAATAGCCAGATGTTTAGTGAGAAATGCATATTAGTGAGGTCTGAACAGTTTCTAAGAGACCATCCAATGTGCTAAAACTTAAGGCCAACTTTTTGACCTTAAAGGAGTTGCTCCGTAATTTGTATCCTTCATTTATTCCTCATAATAATTTGTTGAGGTAATCCCTGTGCCCATTTCACAGATGACCTGGAGCTTCACAGCAGTAAGTAGTCACCTAAATTATGGAATGTCAGGCCTGCTTTCCCAGCTGCATTGCTCTGATTCCACAGCCTTTGCTGGCACCTGCCATATTCTCCTTCATTTCAAAACAGGTGCTGTAAGGCCAAAGGCTAATGTGGTCGTTTGTTTTGAAGTCACATTCTCCTCAGTCTGATCTCACTGTGACTTCCCTTTCAGACTACATCTGGAGAAGATGTCCGCGACTTTGCCAAGGTACTAAAAAACAAATTTCGAACCAAAAGGTATTTTGCGAAGCATCCCCGAATGGGCTACCTGCCAGTGCAGACTGTCTTAGAGGGGGACAACATGGAAACGTGAGTAGTACCAAAGTGAAACAGGCTCTCATTTGATGTGTATTTGACTCTCTCTTGGCTGAATATTCTTCTTCACTCCCAAATGCAAACAGTCTCTTCTTTTGTCTCTCTTTGGATTCGTATTAGCTCAAAAGAGAAAAACAAGCCGATGTTCAATAACCATTTTCAATGCCTCTTGACAATTACCTTTTCCAAAAGTTAAACTTGATTTCACAGGAAGAAAAATCCACATTATAGCGACTAATTGCCTCACAAAGCTTTGAAGAAATATGGGACTGTTTACAAACGAGTGATGCCAGTATCTCATTTTGATTCCCACCCCCTTCACAAATCAGTAGATGTGTGTCTTTTTGTATCTCTTGTGCGGTCACTTTTTTCTACTAGTGAGAAAAACCTAGTCACAGGAAATGACTTCACAGTAAGTAGAGATGATTCTCATGATCAAACTGAAGATGTCTCGACCTCTTTGAAACCTTCTTAGTTTATTTTTCCAAATCCATCTCTCTGATGGCAGTCACACAACTTTTGTTTTTCTGTTAATTCACTTTCTACCTTTATTTGCCTGTTGCTTCCCATGGTTCATACTTGGTTGGTTGGATTTTATTTATTTTGACCTTTCAGTAATTTCTGTTGCTGCTGAGTTTGCCTGTGTCTCTCTTCACCACCTCATTTTTTGTTTTGCAGTCCCGTTACTCTGATCAACTTCTGGCCAGTAGATTCTGCGTGAGTACTTTGCTACAGGGCACAGCTGCCACCCACACATTTGCTCGCTTGATTTTTTTTAAATTTTGTTTTGTTTTGTTCTGTTTTGTTTAAAGATCTATTGATTTTCCTTCTTTCATTTCAAATTTGTTTCTTCTCTTGAAAACTTTGAGAGCCATCTACCACAGATCAGGAGAATCAGGACAACTTTTCAAGTCCTCCCCCTGGTCAAATTCTCATCAGCAGAACCTCTAACCTGAGTTCAAATTAAAATCCAAGAAATAATTTGGGTCTTCGTTGTTTGCATATTTCTTCAAACATGAACAAGGAAGAGCCTACTGATTATAGAATAGCACTCATTGCATGTATTCCTTGGGATGCAGTGCTTTAAGAACCTTCAAAAGAGTTATGGTTTATTCTTTAGCATGTGTTATAAGTGGACTACTAAAGAGCGGTATCCATTTTAGCATGTAGTATTGTTTGGTTGAATTATTTTAGTGAAGTGTGAGGAATTTTTTTTTTTTGTCAAGTTATAGCATGCTGTGTGACTACTTTTTCTATACATGGGTTTCTAAATTTTAATCTAAATTTATTTTGCTTTCCTCTTCAAACTAAATATTTACTTCATAGACAGTTATACATTTAGGCTGAGAGGAAAGTATACTATGGTCTTATTATTGGGTGTATATTAATACTAATGTTAGATATCAATTGATGATTACTTTGAGTTTTTAATGTTAGATAACATTATTGGGGCTGGATGTGGAGGTGTATTCCTGTAGTTCAGATTATTAGGGAAGCTGAGACAGGAGGATCACAAGTTCTAGGCCAACACAGGCCACTTAGTAAGACCCTGTATTATTTAAAAATCAATCAATAAAATCAGATCTTTAAAGAAGAGTTTAGGTTAGGGTCATAACCCATTGCAAAGGCCCTGGTTTAAATCCCCAGTGAGAGAGAGAGAGAGAGAGAGAGAGAGAGAGAGAGAGAGAGAGAGAGA